AAACACGCTGAGGTTTTTAACACTTTAGAATTTTATTTTTAAACTTAAAACAAGAACATCAAAAGTTCAAGACATTAGCATTTAAAATTAATGATCTCAAAATTAGACTTCTCTGTTACCAATACAAAGGAGAAAGGGCACCCAACTCGAATAATGAAGGATTCTAATTCAGGAGACGCGGCAGGGGGAAAGGAAACCTGGTATTATCCTCCACAGTGAGCAAGAGGCCTTGCTCTGGTTATGCAATGTACCTAGGGTTAACAGCTTCTGCTTCCTTCTGGGAACTCTGCAGTTCCTGGTGGGCAATCATCCTTGGCAGCTCAGAAATATGACCTGGAGTCTCCTTTTGACTTCCTAGGACCAATTTGGTCCTTATACCCTGGGAGACTGGAAAGAGTGGGGCAGATTTTCATGAAGAACATGAAAAATCAAGATGTTTGGTTTCTGTTAAGTCTCATTAGTATCCAATACAACAGAATCCAACAGGTAATTTTTTAAAAAAGTGATTATTTCATTTTCTTCTCTTCTGCATTTTCCAGAATATCTAGCCCAGGGCTTGATACTCTGGTATAAATAAACACAACTTGATTGGATGATCATGCATGAAATCCCAGCCCTGAGAGGGACTAGAGCTTTTGAGAGGACAGTGATAATTGTAGGAATTGGACCAAAACTATGGTCAGTAAGATCACGGGGGGGGGGCACCCAGGCAGCACGTATCTGGAAACATGTCAACTCTGAGCATATTATAAACCAATCACATCATTTAAAAACAGGCTTGTGCCCATAGCTCAGTGGTTAGGGCGATGGCCACATACACCAAGGCTGGCAGGTTTGAACTCGACCTGGCCCTGCTACACAACAATAACAACTACAACAAAAAAAGAGCCGGGTGTTATGGCAGGCACCTGTCGTCCCAACTACTTGAGAGGCTGAGGCAAGAGAACTGCTTAAGCCCAAGAGTTTAAGTTTGCTGTGAGCTGTGATGCCATAGCACTCTACCAAGGGCAACATAGTAAGACTCTGTCTTAAAACAAACAAACAAACAAAAAACCCACTAATGTATTGGAGAAAGTTCTGAATCTAGAAGCACAGAGTATGTGCATGTGTGCGCACACACACAGGTTTATATATGCATGTTAGATGGTACTGTTATTAATGGTGAATATTCTAGAATAGCTATTTGAATCCACCTTTACCCGCAAGGAAAAAAAGCTTAATTTTAAAAGACATTCAAGAAATCAAAACCAGAGGAAAGATACAAATGTTTACTGGGATAGCAGGAATGCTTTTGGTTAAGAAGTTTAAATTCACTAATAGAGGTCAATTAGGCAGGCTACTTCAGATCAATAGTGACTTTTTTTCAGGTGGAGCAAAAAGGCATTGACACAAATGAGACAAGTCCAGACCATTTACCCATTTGACTAAATGGGAAGGTCTGACAATGGAGCTCCAGACAATGGAGCTCCTTCCTGCCACACTGATGTAAAGCAGCTTGTCCAAAATGCAAGCGCTTTGGAGGAATAAACACAGCAAGACGTCTAGTCCCCCTTCAATAATCCAGAGCATCCAAAAGATGAGAGCCTAGTTACCAATCCTGCTTTAAAAAATCAGATTAAGAAAAAGAATATTCAAAGCAGTTCACACTGTCAGGCTCAGAAAAAGATTTACTCTTTTAGACACAGCATTCTGCAGCTGGTACTCGGAAGTACATGCAGCAGAGGTGACCGGTGGGGAATTCTGTTCAGCAAATGCACATCAGTGAGAGGAAAGTGAGACTGCTTTTAGTTATTAGGTGCCACATGTGTCAACTGATATCTGCTACTTGAACTGGCCTTGATGAATGGACTGTCTGAGCAGCAAAGCAGCAATGCGCCAGGCAGCTGAGGTGACCGCCCCTCAGGTCCTGGCCCGCCCCTCAGGTCCTGGCCCGTGCCCATTCTGCCTGCACCCCTGCAGTGCACAGGGGACCAAATGGTAACCCTGGAGCCAGAGCTGTCACAATTGCCCTCTTTTTCCCCCAAACTAACTAGCCAACAAACTGGGATACAGTCCCACATTTACGATCTTGTGTTCTGAACCTGCTGAAAAAAATTTAAGCAGTACGGACACTAGTGGGAACAGAATTCAAGCTCAGGAGGAAAGAATCATATCCCTAGTTTGCTGAAGTTACTCTGAACACCCACTTTTTTCTTTTTCTTTTTCTTTCTTTTTTTTTTTTTGAATAGAAATACAGTTGCCAAAGAGAAAGCAGCAATTTAAATGCCAGAAGCACCAGGCAGAGCTGAGGAAAGGAGGAGGGTTCCAACGATTAATTACACTCACATGGACTTGCCTCAATCCTGAGCTCTCATGTGAAGAGTTTAACAGACTTGCCAATTAGTTACTTGTGTGTGACTCATCCCCCACTTGCCTCATTTCTCTTCAAAGTTTGTACTCAGTAATTTGCACTTATTTAAATATCAACTTACATGTTTTTTTTTTTTTTTTAACGGGGAAAAGAAGGAAGAAAAGCCAGTCCCCATCTCAGTATTTCAGCAACTTAAATTGGTCATTTGAGGAAATTTTTTTAAAAACTACTTTTCTCAGCTGCAGTGCAGAACTCAGAATATAATGAATCCATTTTGGATCTTATTTGACAGAATTGATTATGAGAAGAAATAGAAAGACTTTATTTCAGTAATGAATTGTAGAATCTAACAAAACACTGTAACATGGGCCCTCAAAACTTTGTTTCTGTGAAATGTCAGGGAAGCTGTTAAACACACACACATCACAGTAACAACAAAAACAAAGAATGGGGACAGAGAAACAGATACACTAGCTTTTTAGTACCAACCAGACTTAGTACCTAGTTCATTTACATATGGGCTCTTTAAATATAACAATGGTTTTTAAAAAATAATCTAGAGATAGCGCCTGTGGTTCAAGGAGTAGAGTGCCGGCCCCATAGGCTGAGGGTGGCTGGTTTGAGCTCAGCCCCAGCCAAAAACTGCCTCAACAACAAAAAGATCTAGAATTGTTCCTTTTTATTTCATATAGACCCTTTCAACAATTTCAATAATTATTCTTTAAAGAGAGACATTTGTTTGGGCCAGGCACAGTGGCTCACGCCTGTAATCTCAACACTTTGGGAGGCCATGGTAGGTGGATCGCCTGAGCTAGAGTGAGACCCTGCCTCTAAAAATAAATAGCAGAGTACTGTGGTGGGTGCCTGTAATCCCAGCCACTTGGGAAGCTGAGGCAAGAGAATCACTTGAGCCCAGGAGTCTTGAGGTTGCTGTGAGCTATGATGGCACATCACCTACTGGGGGCAATAAAGTGAGACTCCTCTTCTTTGTTATTTTTTGAAACAGACTTTTGTTTCAGCAGTAAATTTCAAGTCCAGAACTCTGATCTAAGTTCTTTCTCAAAAATTAAGTCCCACCAGGTGTCCTGGTTCCAAAGTAGTTTTAAGAGCAAACTGAGCACCCACATCCCGCCTATCCCATCAGCCCTCAACCTCTTCTGGAGCCTCCCCTCAGAATCTGTGCCTCCATGCAAACCACAGCCACAGGGCCCAATGAGGGAATGTCACCACAGCTCAACCACATCGTTGCTTTTTTTTAAATTTCAGGTTAGTGTGAAGGTACAAACAACTAGGTTACAATATTTGCATTTGTTAGGTAGAGATCCTCTTCATTGTTGCTTTTTCCAAAGATAGAGACCCTCCTCCCTGAGTGAGCATGTGATAAGTTCTCGGAAACTTCCAGCAATGGGGGGCAGTGGGGAGTAGAAGAATCTTTAGGAGGCATGCTGAGCTTGGTTTGCTGTAGGAACCCTATCCTTTGGGGCGGGGGAGGGGGGATACAGGGTTAGCTGTGCTGTGCAAATACTCAATTTATAAGGTCACCCAGGGTGGCAAGGCAGCACTTAATGCAGAATAAAGTAGGATTTTAAATTTAGGGCAAATTAGAGAAAGTGTCTACAAGATTTAAAAGGATTTAGTGTATATGAGCACAGGTTGAGCCTGCCTTACCTGAAATGCTTGGAACCAGAATTGTTTCAGTTTATTTTTAATTTTAGAATATTTGCATTTACATACAAAAGTATCTTGGGGATGGGACCCAAGTCTAAACACAAAACATATTTGTTTCAGAGACAACTTAAATATAGAGCCTGAAGGCAATTTTATATAATATTTGTAATAATTGTGTACACGGAAGAAAAGTTGTGTTGAGTACTTATGTGTAGGATCATGTCAGCACTCAAAGTTTTGAATTTTGGAGCATTTTGGATTTCAGATTTTCTGATTGGGGATACTCACTTGTCTGTACTTAGATTTCTGCTGCTTAAAAAGAAATCCTTCGTGTTTATGAATTTGACTTGCTATATGAAACGTGGTAACCAACTGTCAGGCCCTTTCTGAGGAAAAATAATCAGGGATCCCCAGACATTTTAAACATTAAAAGGGAGAACCAGGCATGGGGGGGGGGGCAACAGTGCACATTTTAATGTGGCAGGAACCAAGAGCAAGAAGATGCTTCACAAAATCATGGCCAGCACTGATAGGTTCTTGGTGCTGACCACACTGCTGTGGTTCCTCACCAATACAGCCTCAAGAGTCCAAGTTTACTAACTTGAAAAGCAGCCAATCCGGAAAGATAATAATTTCTGACATTCCAAGTGGCCTCTACAAAGATAGGTGATGGGAATTCTATAAAGCACATACCCGTCGCTCTGGAAAAGAGTATTCCGTAAAAGCCTCCCATGCTCAGTCTCCTTCCAAGGAGTAATAATTTCTTTTCCTACCAAGTTCTACACTGAAATCATATATTGTATAGAGGTCACTAACTGAAAGAACCCTTTTACTTCAGAAAGAACATCGAAAACTTCTTACACAAAATGAAAATTACTATTATATAATTGTACAGGCAAAAATATAAATCCTATTTTCACAGAGCAACGGGCACAATGAAACCCATTTCCCACTGGAAGCAAATGTTCTAAAAGCAACTCACCTGGAAATCTTGATCATCGATCCCAAACCTCTCCCTCAGATTGCGGAAAACCATTGGGCAGTATTCCTTAAACTTGAAATGGCTCGGCATGTTTTCTCTGAAATAAGCATGTTGGGGAGAAAAGTGAGACAGAGAAGTGCTTGGAGTTCACTGTCTTCACAAGGCACAAGTGTATTTCCAAGAACCAGGTATAACCCCACAGTAAGATCCAGGAAACAGAAGGGGCCAGACGGGTAACATCTGTCTCCTTTGCAATGGGCATGCTCTGACTATGTGACCTCTTTAATCCTGGCTGCACCTGCAGTCTTTCCTAAAGGAAGATGTGTTAGAAATGGAAGGGGCCAGGCAGAGGGGACACTGAAGGAACCGCAGGGCAGCAGCAGAGTTAGGAAGACACAGCACAGTGAGCCTGGGACAGCAATGCCCCTGCCCGTCTGCAGTCACTGCCGTGTACAACAGTGACAAGGCATGGCTGCACCCTCACTCCCTAACAGCCTTTTTTTTTTTAAGTTATATACTCATGGATCATGAATACATTTACGCATATGTGGGGTACAATGTGTTGATTTTTTTTATACAATTTGGAGTGCTTTCATCAAACTAATTAATATAGCTTTCGCCTCATTTACTTGATTATTCTGTTAAGACATTTATGTTCTATATTTGATAGATTTGACTTGTACCCTTGCAATATGCTCCACAGGTGTGGTCCCACCTTTTACCCTCCCTCTATCAAACGTGACCCCTCCCCTCCCTTCCCACTCCACTTTGTCTCCTTCATCCCAATGGCCTCTTTTATATAAATACCACATTCTAAACTCACATAGAGAATCCCCCCAAAGTCTACCTCTAAACAGTATTATGAGAAGAAATTAATACGTCAGCTTCACATGAGGACAATGACCCAAGAAATTCACATCATTCCTCATATAGGAGGGATTTCACTGAGGTGCATACTAATCATTCAGACCTGGTCTCTCCTTTGTGTCCCCACAGAACCAGGTATGTATATGTTACACACACACACACACACACACCCCTCCATTGTTGTATTTTGCACACTAAATTATAGTAATGTGTATACATGTCAATTTTAAACTCCTGGCCTATGAGCCCCTGGAGGGCAAGGCTCTCAATGAACCATATATAACAAATGCTCTGTAACAACGCCTAAAATGACATTCAAATGAAGGAGAAATATTCTCCCATCCAAGTACTAACCAGGCCCGACCCTGCTTAGCTTCCGAGATCAGACGAGATCGGGCGCGTTCAGGGTGGTATGGCCGTAGACAGGAGAAATATTCTCAATGCCCAACTACCCAATTAGGTTTTGTAAAAATGTTTCTTAATTCTCTAGGATGTAGTAGTCACTGACGTTCATAAAGTTATCACTTTCAAAGTTTTACGTAAGAGAGCAGAGGTTCATAAAAGCTCCAAAGCCCAAGCAATGTACAGCTTCAAAGAATTTAAATTGTAATGAGAATATCATTTTCAACATATAAGATATTCATAGAGAACAATATGCCATATGGCAAAGGATATTATCCCAGAGGGCCTGCTGCTGCTTCTCTGAGAATGACAGATGGTTATGTTTATCACAGGATTAACTTCATCAGCAAAACTTTCCTCCCACCCATTGAAAAATTATGTGATTATAGAAATGCCCAGAAATCGTACTCGAGGCAGTCACATCCGTCCCGTGAAAGGTCGTACTTGTACTCACTTGTTAAAAAGGTGATTATCCACCTTAATTTTTGAATAGGCTTTGAAGTCATCTGGCATCAACATAACAGGGATTTGAACATGGCTCAGTTCATTGATCTAGAAAAATATAAAATAAATGGTACGGTTATTACTATCGAGGTGGGGAGGGCCTGATGAATGTATACTTTGTAGTAAAGGCCTGGAGGACACAGGAACTCCTCTGCCTGCCTGCCCACCTTTTGCCCTCACTCCCCTCCTGAACCGTCCCTTCCTGCCTCCTCACCCCCTTGTCAGACTTTCCCTCCATCTCCCACCCAGCTGCAGGTCCTACATCTCATGTCTGCCTGATCCCGAGTCTGTGGTAGCCAATGATGGTAGCAATGAGGGAGGAAATCTGTCCCCGCTTTTCTCCCATAACCCAAACCTCAACCAGAGCCCCACAAAGAAAATGCTGTCCGAGAAAGGGAGGCTTTAAATTTTTGATAGTAATATTTGTTGAGTTACTGGATATGATTTATGCTCTGGGGCACTCAAAGAACCACACCGTCATCCACGGGCTCCTTACCTTCCTTACAAGAACTAAATTTAAAAACAAAGATGGGGTGGGGCCTGAATTTACCAAAAGAGGAACCTCAATTAAAGGAAGGAGGAGGAACCGTGAGAGGGGTTGCACAGGGCTTTAGAACAAAAGCAGGCTGTAATCCAAGCACTTTGGGAGGCCAAGGAGGAAGGATCTCTTGGCCAGGAGTTTGAGACCAGCCTGAGCATCACAGCAAGACCCTATCTCTACCAAAACTACCAAAACATTAGCCAGGCATGGTGATGTACAATCTTAATCCCAGCTACTCAGGAGGCTGGGGCAGGGTCACTTGAGCCAAGGAATTCAAGGCTGCAGGGAGCTATGATCAGGACAATGCACTCTCCAGCCTGGGTGACAGAGCAAGACCTTATCTCAAACAAAAGGAAAAGTTTGTTTCCAGAGGACACAGAGTAGAACTGAGTTCTGGCAGGACAGCTTTTGACATCAAACTTTGAAAAGCTGAACTTTCTCTTGGTTAATTCTTCTTGCGTCTTGGTTCCAAAGCTATGCTTCCCTGGCAGTAAAAACCACTTGAAAGATTTTACTGCCAGGTAGGGCCTCTGAAGGGTCTTCAGTTACAGAAACAAACTAGCAAACAACAAAAGAATGTGTTTCCTGATAGAGTTTTTAATACATTTCTGGGTTCACAGAAAGCAGAGGAAGTCTCCGTGACACCCTTCTTCTTCCCCCAGAGTGAGTTTAATCCACGGGGATTGTGGTGATGATGAGGCAGGTCTGAAAGAGGGGTTTCTCTAAAGACAAACACCAGTTTCAACCTTTACATAGGCCAAAGGAAAACCAGGTGGCTCGGGCAAAAGTTTCAACATTAAACTCAGATCCCCGAAGGAAAGTGGCCCTGACACTGACTGAAGTAGATACAAATGGTCTTTGGAAGCCAGTGCCCCCAACTCAAGCCTCCAGCATTCCTATCAACCAAATCTGAGCTCACAGAGATGACAAAAATATTTAAGAATTTGGCTATTAGGATGGTCAGATATAGAATAAAAACAAACACTATAAAGGAAGAGATGGACTAACAAAGATGATTAGTATTTGAAGATATAATGACTGAGAATTTTCCATAAGTGATGAAAGTTATATATCTGTGGATACAGAATACTCAAAGCTATAAATAAGAATATTCAAAGCACACCTAAATATGCTGTTATTAAACTAAAGAATGCCAAAGGCAAGAGAAGAAAGGTGGCCAAGGTTGGGTCTGGTGGCTCATGCCCGTACTCCTAGCACTCTGGGAGGCCGAGGTGGGTGGATGGGCTGAGCTTGAGAATTCCAGACCAGCCTGAGCAAGAGTGAGACCCCCGTGGGCCGGGCGCAGTGGCTCACGCCTGTAATCCTAGCAACTGGGAGGCCAAGGTGGGTGGATTGCCTGAGCTCACAGGTTTGAGAGCAGCCTGAGCCAGACTGAGATCTCATCTCTAAAAATAGCTGGGCATTGTGGCAGGCGCCTATAGTCCCAGCTACTTTGGAAGCTGAGGCAAGAGAATTGCTTAAGCCTAAGAGTTTGAGATTGCTGTGAGCTTTAATTACATAGCACTCAACTTAGAGCAACAGAGTGTGATTGTTTCAAAAAAAAAAAAAGGAGAGAAAAGACAGAACACAATAAAAGAGTAACAGTCAGATTGCCAGCTAGCTTCCCAAACCTGTAAGGCTACCATGGAACAAGAACAGGAATCTAAAATAGTAAAACTTCTCCCATCCACGTTACTCAAGTATCTTACAATACTTAGTAGTAATTTTCAGAGGCTAGTTGTGAAAAGTTAAAATTTATGTATTTTCATCCTGGCAAGGGAATACCAAAGTTTGAAAAATAACAGAAAGAGAAAAAGAGAATCAGAAAATCCAAGTCCTGTGACAATCAGCACAATTAGCATGAAGCTGGGGAGGGCCAATTCAATCCACATTTCAGTGTCTTTCAGATTAGAGAAGAATATAAAAAAGGAAAACGCAGGATGGCAGGAAAAAGTTAAGAAGCCATCAACTCCACGCCGCTTCTACACACAGAAAAGCTGCACAGGACACAAGTGATTTCTTTCTCATCTGTGCTCCAAGTGGTCACAGAGGAAGTAAAACCCGATGTGGAGGTGGGATCAAATGCCACTTCTTTTTAAGAGCACATGATCAACTCAGGAGATCCTCCAAATCCCTTGATTCCTTCCTCAGGCTGCTGAGATCAGTGTCACACCACAGGTGCTTTTACAGAGTTAAAGGAGGAAAGGAGAAACTTTTGAATCCTTTCTGCTATGCAAGTACCTGCTCTGGAACATGTTATGTGGAAAAAATAGGAAAACTACTCAGCCAAAGGGATGTGTAGCCTGAGAACGTCCCTTATGGGTTTTCAGTCCCAACCATCCTCTCGTCAGCACACCCTTAGGGCCACTCTGGGCTGGGTGTGGAGCAGATGCCTGTCTTCACCCTCCGGGTTCTTACAGTCCAGGGGCAGGCACACCAACTGCAGAATCGCACACGTGTATAACTGTAATGATGAAAGAGGGATGGGACAGGTGAGGCTTCCCTGGGTGGTGCCTGCAGGAGAAGGAAGGTGGAGAGGGTTTCCAGGAGGGCAGGCCCTGGGCAGGAGGCGGCACAGCTAACTGGGGGAAAGTGCAGAAGGTGAGAAGGCGTGTGGTACGCAGGGGCTGAACTGCAGGCCCAGGAGCCTGGGAAGGGCCACTGCGAAAGCCCAGGAGGCAGCAGAGATGGAGCAGGTGGACAGACTCCAACACACCAACGTGGTAGGATCATCAGGGCTGGAAGGCAGGCTGGGAATGTAGGGAAAGATTTGGGGGCAGAGATAAGAACGGCTTGCATGACAGGGCAGCACTGAGTGTATTTTTAAGAGAGACTCAGTTTTGAGCTCATCAAATTTGTGCTCTTGAGACCTCTGAGTGTTGGTGTCAGGTAGGTGAGATGGGTAGGCCTGAAGTTCCAGTGGTGGGGCAGGAGTGGGAGATAAAAATACTCATATCCAGGAATCAAATATTAGCTCCCCATGAGAAAGGCTAAAGGAACTTGGAAAGGAAACAGAGGTTCCTCCTCCAGGAGCCTCTAGGAGAGTCTAGAATACTGGGAGTTTATGGAGTTTACCACCCTGGGGGGAGAGGGTGGGCTTCCAAGGGGGAAGAGAAGAACCACCAGTGAGGTGGGAAGGGAAAAGCACAGGACCACCCAGGAAGGAAGGGCACACAGCGGGACTCAATGGTGGAACAGGAGGGGCAGGCCAAGGGGCTCAGAGGCTCAGCAGCTGGAAAAAGTGACTGCAGGATGTGGACTAGAAAGTTTAAAGAGAAAATGGGGCTGGCTTTGAGGTGTAGTCAACGATCCCTTGCAGTCCATGACGTACAGGGTAGGAATGAATTGGTAGAGTGAGGACTTGTGGGGAGATGTGCCTGAGGGCTCTGCCTTGGGGTGCAGGTGGAGAGACAAGAGGATGAGCAGGTCTTTCAGGACTGAGGATTTTGCAAGTCTGAAGTAGAGTTCTGCATAGTCCCTTGGAAATGAAAAATCAGGACAAAACATCATCCCTGGCAAGGAGGAGGTGCCCACTGTAACTAATGGGGTGAGATATTCCCAAACAGTAAAACACAAACCAACGCAGAAGAAATGCTGGCATCTAGACAGTAAGTGCCACGGGAACTCAGAGCGGGGAGTCCCTGTCACAGGTGTGGCTCTCCCAAAGGCTTCCCAGAAGGGGTGCAGCCCCACGCGGCTCTGCAGGGAGGGAGAGCAGTGATTAGGGTGCAAACGTCAGGAGATGCAAATTCCTAGTGACTCCCCACCTTCAACAGTCAGACTACTCTAAGAGGGGATGTGTGGTCCTCATTATTAAAGAAGACAAGAAAGGAGATAAGAAATCAAAGATAGTTGCGTTATACCTTGGTAACACAGAATCATAAGAGGGTGAAATTAAAAGAGAACCTCAGAGATGCTAGGTGACTTAGAATCACAGCTCTCACATGGCAGATTACAATGTGTCCTGGTAAAGCTGTACCTATGCCTTTTATAATTGAGAAGTAGCTGGATACAAAGTGACGTTTGACAGCTATCTTGTGGTTACTTATCTTTCCTCCAGCGGCCTTTCAATCACAATTGCTTCAAGTTTCTTTTGGTTTTCTTTTTGCCCCCACCTCCCACCCCACCACCACCAAGCTTCTAGGTCAAGTGAGTAGCTAGATTTCATGACCTGTGAGCAAACACTTCACAAACCACGAGATCGACCTACCACTTCAAAGAATAGTTTAAATAGTACGCTATTTTTTTCTATGGTGTAGCTACGAGCCCCTATATTATTTTTTATAAGCATGTGTTCTTTTGTTCTATGAGACTTAGCAATCGTTTCAGTTTTACTAAAACACACTGGTGATAGAGTACCAATAACTGAAAAGCCATAAAACTTCCTGAAGTACTCTCTCCTTTAGCCTACTACCCCACCTTACCTAACGTAAAATATATTGCTAGTCTCCAGTTCAAATTCATGAGTTAATTAGGTAAGGACAATGAGCTATCACCTTGAATAAGT